TCAGGGGAAACCCTTAACGACGAGTGACGGACCTCGTCCGTCACGCGGTAAAATTAACCCTGGATCGCCGCTATTGCGGCGATCGCGGGGTTAATGGTGCTCCGGTATGCCTCTGCATTAGAGGCATACCGGGAGCACCCGGTCAGGCTGCCCAGCACATGTGCTCGCTCTGACCGCAAGTCTGAGCGAGCACATGTGCTCTGTATACTCACCTACCGGCTCCCTGCACTTCCGGGTTCTGTGTGAAGTGCAGGGAGCCGGATCAGTGCTGATCCTGCCCCCTGCTGGAAAAAAAAATAAAGTTTATTTAAAGTCCCCCCCCCCTTACCCATTTTAATAAAAAATTAACCCCTTCCCTGCCAATTGATCACTGACTACAGTGATCAATTGGCAGGGATTACATTTTACTATGATCTGATTTTTTTTTTTTAACCCCTGAGGGTTAAAAAAAATTTTTTAACCCTCAGGGGTTAAATTTATTTAATTAATTAATTAAAATACTTTAAAATTATATATTTAGCTAGCTGGGGTGGGTGGAAGTTAGTGGGGAATTGGGGGATTTGGCGTTAGGCTAACTAGGGGTTAACGTTAAAAAAAGTTTTAAAATAACCTTTAAAAAGTAAAAAATTAAGCTTAAAAAATGTTTTAATAACGTTTAAGTAAAAAAAAAAAAAAAAACCCTTTACCTAGTCCAAATAAAAATTAACCCCTTCCCTGCCAGTCGATCACTGCCTACAGCGATCAAATAGAGATCACAGTATTATACCGTGATCTAATTTTTTTTAACCCCTGAGGATTAACTTTTTATTTATTTTTTAACCCTCAGGGGTTCAATTTATTTAATTAATTAATTAATTAAAATATTTTATAACTATGTATTTTGCTAGCTGGGGTGGGTGGGAGTTATGGGAAAATGGGGAATTTACTGTTAGTGCTGCGTACTGCTAGTTAGGGGTTAACGGTAAAAAAAAAAGCTTAGAAAAATGTTAAATCTGTAAAAAAGTTTTAAGAAAGTTTAGGAAAGTTTAAAAAAAATTAATAAGCAAAACAAAAGTTTAAAAACTAGTTTTTAAAAGTAAAAAAGTTATAAAAAGTAAAAAAATACATTTTAAAAACGCTCATTACCACTACACCTGGAACAAACTAGAGAAAAAATTATCCCACGCCAAGGTTCAAAATATGCCTTTTGAATTACCCCAGGGTGTATTCTTTAATAAATAGTATGTGTTTGTGGGGAAGTTTCAATAACCAACCGTCTAAACTACTCCAAATTGGAACATGGACACAGCGTAAAACTTCAAAGTTAGAAAAAAACTGAATGGCTGCGTCTCAAATGCGCCCCTTCAACATCCACACATACCTGGCAAAGGTACATACAGGGGTATTGCTGTACTCAGCCGACATAGCTGAGCAACATATGAAGTATTATACAGTCATAGCACACATAAGGTTTGCAAAATATGTTGCACAAACTCACTTTGTATGTCAAAAAGGCAGAAAAAATGCTTATTACCACTACACTTGGTACAAGCTAGCGGAAAAATGATCCCACGCTAAGGTTCAAAATATGAATTTTGAAATACCCTGGGATGTCTTCTTTAAGAAATGGTATGGCTTTATGGGGTATTTGGATTATATAGCCTGGTAAAATACTCTAAAATGGGACATAGGCACAGCATAAAAATTCAAAGTTTGAAAAAAAATGGAATGGCTGTGTCCCAAATGTGCCCCTCCGATGTCCACACATACCTGGCAAAGGTACATACGGGGGTATTGCTGTACTCAGCCGACATAGCTGAGCAACATATGAAGTATTATACAGTCGTAGCACACATAAGGTTTGCAAAATATACTGTGCAAACTCACTTGTATGTCAAAAAGGCAGAAAAAACGCTTATTACCACTACATCTGGTACAAGCTAGCGGAAAAATGATCCCACGCTAAGGTTCAAAATATACCTTTTGAAACACCCTGGGGTGTCTACTTTAAGAAATGGTAGGCCTTTGTGGGGTAGTTTGAATTTAAAACCTGCGAAGATGCTTGGAAATTGCACATAGGCCCAGCGTCAAAATTCAAAGTTTGGTAAAAACGGATATGGCTTGGTCTCCTATATGGCACTGTAGCTTCACAAAATAGTGACAAAGACATTCATTGGGGTGTATTTTTACTCAAAAGACTTAGCTGAGCATAATTTGGGAGGTTTGAACTTAGTGGCACATATGAAATATACAAAACGCCCAGCAAAAATGCAATCCGTATGTAAAAAATGCACAAAATAATTTTTTTACCACATACTTTGGCATATATTGGTGAAAAAATGGGGTATGTTAAGGCACAATATGCACCTTATGAGATACCCTGGAGTGTCTACTTTTACAAATGGTAGGCCTTTGTGGGGTTTTTTTGAACAGTCAAACTGTTATAATACCCCAAATGGAAGCTAAGGCTCATTAAATCCATCTCTCAAAATTCTACTGTGAATACTGAAAAGGACAGGTATCCTGTGTGGCACTGTAACTTCACAAAATAGTGCCAAAGACATACAATGGGGGTGTCATTTTACTCAGCAGATGTAACTGAACACAAAATAAAACTTTGTACAGGAATAGCACACACCAACTTTACAAAATATACACGAAAATTTCTCTGTTATAAGTTTGTGTACCAAAAACCAAAAAAAACACAATTTTACTCCAATATTTAGCAGAGATTGGCGGTGAAATGGCTATGTAGAAAGTGTCAAAACAACCTTAGGTAAATAGCCCGTGATGTCTACTTTATATAAATATATACTTTTGTCTGGCAATTTTGTTTTCTTTTATGGCTATTAAGCTTACAAGACAAACATACCAAATTCTAAAATCGCTGCACATTAAAAGTCTATTTTACTCCTTGTGCTTTGTGACCTGTAACTACCAAAAAAACCTTAAAATCCCAGACACATTATATATTCTGTAAATCAGAACAACTAAATTAATTTATTTTTAATTACTTTATTTAACCTGCACTAATTAGGCACACATTATTATTGCAAAAACTGTAAAAAAAAAACACAAAATTTTCATTTTCTTTACATTTTTCTGTATTTTTTTATAATAAATAAGCATTTATATATATGTGTGTTACATCAAATTAAAGCCCTTTCTGTCCTTTAAAAAACGATGTATAATATGTGTTGGTGCAACAAATAAGTAAAATGCAAATTGCAGTTGAACGCAAACAGCAAAAAATGAAAAAAATGCCGTTGTCATTAAGTGAAAGACAAGCTTTTGAAGCTCTGTCCTTAAGGGGTTAATATTATACTAAGATAGTAATACTTACATAGTTGTGCCTACATAAAACATTGTAAGGAAATACAATCACTCAGTAAATTATCGATTTTTTTTAACTGCACCTTAATCAAATTAATAAGTTAATGCACATATAGTGAATCCTTAAAACATGTAATAATTCTATACTATATATATATATATATATATATATATATATATATATATATATATATATAAAAATAAATAAATAAAGGCAACCGAAGCAAACAACAAAATGATTTTAATTTAATAAATAAATGAGATTTTGTTATGTAAAAAGAAATCTATTATCGTGAATTTGTTTTATTACATTAAAGGGACATTGTACGCACTGTAACTGCTCTACCTCATTGAAGGGGTTATAATGTCTGAAGTCCTCTCGCCCTACATTTAGAGTTAAACTATTTCTAATGTTTTATTGCTAAATGAAAGTCCCCAGCAACCCATCTCATCTGTGCTGCTTTGACCAACAAGCAAGCATTAGCATGAGCAGCAATGGGCAGTTCTGATTGGCTGAAAGTGTCTGATGATGATTTTCAGCCTATCAGCATCCATTGCTGGTATGAATCGGTATGGCTAGAAGGAAGTGTGTAATCTGTCTTAGCCACACCTACAGTAGGGGCAGGGCTATCAGGGGTCAGAATTCTCATTCAGTGTCAAACTGCTTGATCATGGTTTAAAAATGAATGTAGGGACAGTGTGAGGGGGCTCCGGGCACTATAACCAATTCAGTAAGATGGTTATAGTGACTACAGTGACTCATTAAATAGGGACGCTTTTTATTCCTGACGTGGGAATGTAAAATTGCAGCAAGCATGATGTCAGTTCTACATACTATGTGATGGTTTCAGTTGTTGTGAAGTGTTGGATTGTATATCCCATAAATCCATGCTGATCATGATTTATGGCAAAAGTTGAGACTCCATTGAACAAAATGACAGATTTGGCCTGATTGGTTTGAGTCCTGGTTGAATGATAGTTCACTGAAGGTAACGCAGCAGATTTTGTGAGGGGGGGGTCTTTAAATCTTTTTTGTTCCTCTCTTATATTCATGGAATATTTGGCTCTAGGTTGCTTGTAGAATCCATGCAAATGACAAGTGTATGTTTAAAAGACTTGGCACTATATGTTTTATCACACAGTGGGAATTGCTATCTTTAATAACATGTTTTGGATTGTAGTTGAACAAACACGTCAATCATAATTTTTTCATTCTGCCAATAAAACCCTGTTCTTACTCATCATAGCAGGTAATTACCCACGAGAATAAGTCTAACCATGTGTTTTTTTACAATGGATTCAGTGTTGCATATGCTACAACCGCATTAACATTCTCGTTCACAGTATTGTGGTAAAACACAGCATTAAGGGAGCCCAATAAATATTCACATCCTTATGGCAGGATTTTTATTTGCTCATACTTTCTGATTAAAAATCAGCATTCTGAATAGAACTCATCAGATTCTGAGTTAAAACTGAAACCCACAATAAATATTAGTCTATTGGGTGAGTAAAGAAGGGGCCCATGAATGCTGGACTATGTAGCAAGTCATTTTCTAAAGATAGCCTCTAAATGTGCATAAATAAAAAGCTGTAATTGCTTAATCTCATTGAAGTGGTTATGGTGTCTGGTGTCACCTGGCACCGTCCATTCAGTGTTGTTTTAAATATTTTAATGGTAAACAGGACTCCATACCAGCCCATCAACTTTGTGCTGCTCAGTCTAAAGAGGAAGCATTAGCCTGAGTTGCAATGGGTACTTTTGATTGGCTGTGTCAGTTTTCAGCCTATCACAGTGCCAAATGCTGGCATGAATTGGTGTAGCTTGAAGGACAGTGTAATCTCTGCGTAAACCAAACCTCAGGTGGGGTATGGACAGTGGGAGTTGCGGGGGGCCCTTATTCTGTGTTAAACAGCTTGAAAATGGTTAAACACTGCTTAGCCAGGGGACTCCAGTCACTATAGCCAATTCATTTTGTTTCGTGTTTCGTTAATGGTGATTTAGTGTAAGTGGCATAATTTGTGATTATTGGGGTTATAAGGTTACGAGGAGGTGAGAACTTACTCCTGCCCACCCTCTCACATCCTTTATGTTGATATGAGGGTTTGTGTGGGAAAGATGTGTCCAGGACAGGTTAAGGAGTAAAATTGAGAACATGAGCTCTTGGTTACAAATTTAGGGAACTGCAAATTGCCTAAAAGTAGCAATGTCTAGAAAAGAGGTTAAGTACGCCCACATTAATTGTTTAAAAAAGCTGTGGCCCTATGCCCTTTGGCAATCTATAAAATCATTTCCCATTCTTTAAGGTTAGATATATCTTACACTTCTATGGACCTGATTCATGTTTCTATAATTTCTTGCATTGACTACTGCTATTCTCTCCTAATTGGTCCTTCCAGAAAGCATATTGCCTCTCTAGAGTCAATTAGAAATGCTGGACTTATTTTTCTCTCCAGTTGTTCTTCTCAAACGTAGCCCCCACTCTCAACAGGATGTTCTTATGCATCAGCCTGTCTTCCTCTCCCAGACTCTCTCCTGTTCTTTATTCCTATAATAAGTCCATATTAACCACATCTTCAGACTAGCCTATGGACTCCCGGGTAACAGTCATTCCTCAAGCCTATATGTTACACTCTCAGCTTAATTAGTGGGTCCATTACCACCTCACTCTGCCTGTTGTGTTTTTACCCCCTCTACATTGTAAGCATAGTCCTCTTCAACTTGTTCCTTTAAAATTTGCAATAGTTTATCTTATTTGTTGTTATATTTACGCTATTTTAAAGCACTGTGCAATAAGTCGGCACAATATAAATGCCATATAAATGCCAAGAATAATAACATTAAGGCAGCAATTAAAGTGAGTTAATGTTTTCCCGAACAACAGTGAAAGGGGAACAATATTAATAACAATAAAGGAGGTTGAAAGCTTATAGAACATAATAAAACAGATTCACTAAAACTCCACTAGTTGAGGTTTTTGGATAGACTGTAAGTATCATAGTTGCTGGATGCATTCCAACTGCAAATGTTAAAGTCAATGGAATTTTTAAAAGGTTGAAGACCCACTACTGGCACCATAACCACCATGGTGCATTGCAGAGAGGGCTAGCTCATTGGCCAAGAGTGTCAGTGTAAGTGCCAGGTTTGGTGGCAGTTTTATTACTTACAGTACATTTGAGGTTGCCTTGGTACTCCTGGCACTTTAACTCCTTGAATGCTGTAGTGGATATGTTGATTGAAGTCTTCCTTTAAAATAAAAGGCAAGTGAAAGGGTATGCAGCAATCTGGGCAGAAATTGGACATATTGGACCATTGATTTTGTCCTCTTGCATCAACAGAGCATGACTGGTAGCAAAGTATCATATAGGATCACCTATTAGTAGGTGACACAATGTGGCATGAAATGTTAAAGGGACACTCCATTGCCCAAATACAAAATAACTAAAAATCACTGTTTAGTAGAAATACCCAAATTAAACCTTGCATGAATTTAAATAGGCAATTTTTCATTAGGGTGTATCTAAAAAACAACTTGCAAAAACTGCAGATCTCTTGTCTGCTGCCTTTGCAAGCCCTCCCCTTTTAACTCCTCCCAGACTTTCCGTGGCTGTCCAATCATAGACTTTCCAGTGCAGCTCAATAAGAAGTCTTTGCAAGGCAGGTGCTCTGGGCAATTGCTGCCTCTTGAGTTTAGCTCCACTGAGCTAACCAAACCAGGAAGTAACGTGACATGCTGTCTGATTAACATCCAGGATGTGTGTAACCAGGTAAATTTAAAAGTGTCAATTTATATTGAATTCTGCACTTTTTGCTAAATGACAAAAATTGGACACACTCTTCACACATATAGCTTTTTCAGCAAGATAAAGTGGTTTAGGGCTCTGGAGTGTCCCTTTAAATTTTGTTCTTGGGTATCACCTGGGAATTCCTCTTAAATGCAGAAGTACATTAAAGGACCACTATAGGCACCCAGACCACTTCAGCTTAATGAGGTGGTCTGGGTGCCTGGTCCAGCTAGGGTTAACCCTTTTTTTATAAACATAGCAGTTTCAGAGAAACTGCTATGTTTATAAATAGGTTAATCCAGCCTCTAGTGGCTGTCTCTTGAGAGCCGCTAGAGGCGCTTGCGTGCTTCTCCCTGTGAAAATCAAAGTGAGAAGACGCAATCGTCCATAGGAAAGCATTATGAATGCTTTCCTATGAGACTGGCTGAATGAGCGCGCAGCTCCTGCCGCGCATGCGCATTCAGCCGAAGAGGAGGAGAGGAGGCGGAGAGGAGAGCTCACCGTCCGGCGCTGGAGAAAGGTAAGATTTTAACCCCTTCCTCTCCCCAGAGCCCGGCAGGAGGGGGACCCTGAGGGTGGGGGCGCCCTCAGGGCACTATAGTGCCAGGAAACAAGTATGTTTTCCTGGCACTATAGTGGTCCTTTAAATTCACATTAAAATAACTATGTATATATATATATATATATATATATATATATATAGTTCAATTGCAATGCAAATGTAATCATATAGATTTTGATTTTAAATATGTTTTTTGATATTTAATTTATAAATATTTTGGAAACAATAAATAAATAAATGATATGCAGCCCCTGACACTCCAGACTCCTATAACAGCTAGAGAAAAAAAAAATCCATGAAAATTGATTCACCTTTTTATTTTAATAGAATACACTTGCGAAATATCACAGTGTTATGTCACTTGGAGAACCTAATCTTATACATAGCACGATTAAGATCTCAGCAGAGGTTGGCACAAGTACCATTCATTATGTAGAATTGACAGGCTCCTGGGAGTTTAATGGAAATTACTGCTGCTGCTCACATTAAGCCCACTCTGCTCTTGACATAATTAGAATCCGACTATTCTGCATTTCCATGACACTGGGTACTGATCATATAGTCCTACTTGGTCATCTAATACAGTTATACCAAAATGTGTTTTGTTTTTTTCATTGCACTTGCTAAGAACTTTTACTGTTGGTATATTTAAACTGCCAGCCCATTCATTGACACACAATACATCAGAGACAAACAGGTAATCACAAAACTGAGTGACTGATCTTCCAGTTCTGAAACACACAAATGGTGGAAATTTAGAAGTCATCTTGGCAACCTTTGACCTCCGTTGATATAAAGTTTTCCCCTGGACAACATGGGAAGGAGGAATGTGACTGCTTCACATGAATTGTGGGCAGGAATTATGTTGCTACATTGTTGCAGGTTGTGTAAGGTTTTTATGGCTTTATGGAGGGGTGACGACTTTGTTCTTCTTTCTCTTTGTCACAGCTTTTGGGATTCCTGAACAGCGCAGTCGCAGTATATAGTGAGATGCCAAGTCGGTTTGGGGAGACTAAAGTCTGCATGAGGCAGGTGGCAAGTGCCTGTTTGGGCTCACAAAGAAAGGTTGGAACAGAACTATCTGTTGGGTAACCACTCAACAGCTGACAGGGTTAATTCATTATAATTGTTATTATAGAGTCAATAAAGCTGTGTTCATTGCCCTTATCAACTTAAGTTTGTGTCCATTGTTTTATTGGGGGGCAGAGGTGAATAGCAATTATGGGTCAGCAGTAGTAAGACAGGCCGATGAATTTAAATACTTTTTCTCTTATGAAAGAGAAGAAATGTTGAGGTGTTTATTGGGCAGAAGATGGGGGCATTTACCTGCTATACACATCTTTCTCACTGCCCCATTGGGGCCAAATGAAACCCCATGTGGGTCAAGATCAGGAAGAATTTAACTTGGCTTTGATGTACATGGTGACATTTTAGGTACTCAGAATATTTTCTCATGGAGTGAAATAAGGAAAATCATGTAAAGGATGAATTTTAGACAATAAGGTGTAAAATATAATGATATTATTAACTACGGAGAATGACTGATACAGACATCCAGTGTTGAATGCAATTTAGTTTAGAATTTAATAGTAATGCATTTAAGTCTCCCTCTGTCTCTTTTTTTCTGCCACGTCATTCTGTTACTCAGTTGAATTAAACTGGTTTGTTTTTTTATCGTTTTAGCGTTCAATCAATAATTTAGGTGTTTTAAAAAAAATATAATAATTTCACCTCTCACGGCTTCTACCTATAAAACTAATTATTGCACCTCACATCTGGTAATCACTCAGACTGACACTTTTTGACATTGATGAATTTAAGTGAAATTTAATATTAATTGAATGTAAATTAGATGATTCATTGGAAACTAATATCCAGTTCTACTTGCCCATCTACCCAAATTTGCTGTTCAAGATAATGTTTTGCTTTTTGTTTTCTTTTATTATCATATTTATTTTTATTAGTACTAGTCATGGTTGTTGTTGTAGGAATATTTAAACTTGGGATCAAATATACAATTATATTTAAATAAAAATGTATTGATCCACAATCATTGATTTAATGAGAATATATTGGGATTGAGTATAAAATTGGAGTAAGAATCTGTGCTGAAATAGAGTTTACTTTGCTTTAAAGGTAATTTGAATGTTCAAGCACTTTTCATTATAATATTAATATGTGTATGTATGTGCATGCATCATTGTATATATGTATGCGCATGTATTAGTATGTGTGCGTCCAAAGAACCAACATGGCTCCAATGACATGGTATGGGCAATGTCATGATAATGTGACAATACATATTGTAAATATACCCGCATTAAGGAGGAGTTGTTTATACAAACTGCTTGGTAGTGAAGGGGCTAACCACAAGTATTCCTGTACTGTCTTTGTGTACGGGACTGGGCTATGTTACTGACCACAAGTTATTCCTGTCTCCACTACCACCGTCCCTGTCCTTGACCTTGGAGTTTGCTAATTGTTTTCTATTGATATTGTTTATTAATTATTTCATATTACCATCTAGTGTTAAACCCGGCCACTCTAAGGTCCAGTGAAGTACCTGTTTATCATTTCTCTCTGTTCCTCTGGGTAGGATTGCTGACTTATATCATGGTGAAGATTA